TGGATACATAAACACTAAGGTTGCGGACATGCCAGCTAGAAAGAAGCAGATTGGTCAAAGCAAATTAATAAAGACATTTCACTGGCGTAAAAAAAGTGCTTTATTTCATGGCTGCAAGTGTGCCAACATTTCACAGAACAATTTTACACACGCCTTATTTTTTACAGCACATTTTGCCAAATCACTTCTTAGATCACTTGATTCCTCCTCGGACAAAGTTCCAATTTCTGAATCACTTTCACCATCACTGTCCGGCGGGTGGTGATCATCTCGATACTCGTCTTCTCCTGTATCAGACTGCTCCTGTGTCTGTATGTCTTTTGGGCTATCAGTAAAAGAGGGGTCTGGATTCTCATCTGAGTCACTAGACTCCACCAATGCGCGTAATTGTGCATTTTGTCGTCTCCATTTTTTGTGATACATCTAGGAGTGAAAATAAAAACTCAATATATTCAAGCCTAAATGTTTTATAAACAAAATCATTAAATTTGAAAATAAGTTATAAAAACATTCAATCCAATGAGGTAGGCTGTGCTCATTTTTTTATATAATATCTTCCACATCAACCTGTATTACAATTTTACAAAAATGTAAATGATTTTTTTTTTTAAGGGTTACAGTTACTTTCAGATTCAAATAGATGGTTGGGTTAGGTATGGGGACAACTCACCGTTGAAAGAGACTTTCAGTTCGTGTTCTTCCAAATCTCTGGAAAAGAGAAGTAAGAAGAATGTGAAATCTCAACCTTAATTTTAATATTTTCTGGCAAAGAATGTCTCTTTTTAAGACAGACGGACTTCACCCAAACAAACGGGGCTCAGAAATGTTAGCTGCGCACATACAGCATGTGGTGCGGTCCACACATGACTTACGTGAATGACTAATCATTCATGCAGCACACCTGGACGCACCACCGCTCACTGAACAGATCTCTGCCTCACTGCCACAAACAACTGTCTCCACCTGCTGGCATGTAAAGCCGTCTGCTCCCAGCGCTGTTCCACAGACTTCTATTCCTGTCATCATCACGCATAGACCAGTAAACCGAAATGTGCACATCCCACACAGAAATAATAGTAATCTCTTAAGGATTAGGACAACTGCAACAACTCCAGCATCCAGAACAAACTCATTTAAAATGGCTCTCTTCAATGTGAGATCACTTTCAAGTAAGACTTTTATCTTAAATGATTTTATCTTGTCTGCAAATCTAGATTTTATGTTTTTAACTGAATCCTGGTTGCAGATGAATGACTATAGCCAGCTAGCTGAACTGTGTCCGCCTCAATATGACTGTTTTAGTCAACCGAGGGTCAGTGGTCGTGGTGGTGGGCTAGTGAGCGTGTATAGGAAAAATTTTAAATGTCATCAAGTACGCTGTGATGAATTTAGCTCCTTTGAAGTTCTCACTCTTAAAGTTGGAGGGCTGCAACCTATCATATTTGTTATAATTTATCGCCCCCCAAAACCGCCTGGAGGATTTTTATCAGAACTTCCAGAATTTTTATCTACTCTGGTTTTAAATTATGACAGAATTGTTCTTTGTGGCGATTTTAATATTCATGTTGATGACCCCACCAATGTTAATGCAACTAACCTTTTAAATATGGCCTCTTCTTTTAACTTCAAACAACATGTCAAAGGGCAAACACATAACCGTGGTCATACACTGGACTTGGTTTTTACCCTGGGTGTCAGTGTTTCCTCTGTGGAATTAGTGGACATGACCATATCTGACCACAGATGTATTGTTTTTAGCTGTGATTCGCCTGTTACTCATGCCGCCTCACCAAGCTCCGTGTGTTCTCGCATCTTTAATGAACAAAGTGTTTCAAAGTTTTGCGCATTCTTTCAGAGCCAAAGCCAACACCTGTCTGATTCCAACACCAACAATCTGGTCGATCACTTCAATCATATCTGCTTGTCGTCACTAAATATTACTGCTCCTCTAAAGGTTAGGCCTATGTCTAAAGCTAGTAAGCAACCCTGGATAAATGACAGCATTCGCAGCCTCAAAAGGGAATGCAGGAAAGCAGAGCGCAGATGGAAAAAATCCAGTCTCCAAGTCCATTACCTCAGTCTGAAGGATTTATTAATTAACTACAATAACATGGTTAAGGATGCGAGAACACACTATTTTTCTGAACTCATTACTACACATAAACACAATCCCAGGTTTCTGTTTAAGACTGTGGATCAGCTGGTAAACCCAACCCCTCCTTGTGCCTCAGCTGGAAGTAATGATGACTGTGAATTGTTTTTATCTTATTTTACCATAAGGTGGTGTCAATCAGAGCCTCTATTACCCCCGCGGCCTCTTACTCAGAGGTTCCTCACCAGCAACAAGAGAGTTTTAACCAGTTTTATCCCATCGACTTGTCTGAGCTTTTAAAAACAGTATCACAAATGAGAGTGTCCTCCAGCCCACTTGATGTAATACCTACAAAGTTTTTACTGAAAGTAATGGATTCTGTTGGGCCCCATTTGATCTCTGTTTTCAACAGCTCCCTATCTACTGGTTGTGTCCCTGATTATTTTAAAACGGCTTGCGTGAACCCACTTTTAAAGAAACCTGGTTTAGATCCCTCCCTCCCAAAATTTTAGACCAATTTCAAAACTGCCTTTTATTGCAAAGATTCTAGAAAGAATTGTGTCCAAACAGCTGCTGACTGTACTGGAAAATAACAAAATATTTGAAAAGTTTCAGTCTGGTTTTAGGAAGTACCACAGCACTGAGACTGCCCTGTTTAAAGTCACCAATGACCTTTTAATGTCTGCTGATGAAGGCATGTGCTCAGTCCTTTGACAGCAGCTTTTGACACCATTGATCACAACATCATGTTAGACAGACTGAGGCACTGGGTGGGGATCTCTGGTACTGCTCTAGAATGGTTTTCATCCTACCTGTCAAATAGGAAGTTTTGTGTGTCTGTCTCCTCATTCTGTCCAGTTAAATATGGTGTGCCTCGGGGGTCGGTCTTAGGACCCATTTTGTTTTCCTTGTATCTGCTTCCCCTTGGACATATTATCCATAAACATGGCATTTCTTTTCATATTTATGCTGATGACACACAAATATACTTGCCCGTCAGATCCACAGACCCTGGAATGCTGAGTTCACTTAACAACTGCCTTTTGTGAAGTTAAAAAATGGATGTCAAATAATTTCCTCCAGCTGAACTCAGACAAAACAGAAATCCTGGTCATCGGGTCTCAACAGATGGCAAATCAAATACTGCCATCTGCTGGTTCCCTAGTAAATCACATTAAGCCTGTGGCAAAGAACCTTGGTGTTTGGTTTGATAGTAATTTAAATTTCGAGCAGCACACCACAAAGGTTGTTCAATCATATTTTTATCAACTTAGAAATATAGCAAAAATTCGATCTATGTTAACTTTTAAGGACACCAAGACCATTTTACACGCCTTCATCTCATCACGCCTGGATTATTGCAACAGCCTTTTCACCTGTTTAACCCAAAAATCTATTGATCGACTCCAGACTGTCCAGAACTCAGCTGCCAGGCTTTTAACCAGAACAAAGAAATATGACCACATTATTCCTATTTTAGCTTCATTACACTGGCTCCCAGTATGTTTTAGAATTGACTTTAAAATTCTATTGATCACTTTTAAAGCTCTTCATGGCCTCTCACCTTGTTATATTTCTGACCTTTTAGTCCCATACGCACCAGCACGTACCTTGAGATCCTCGGGCAGAGGTCTGTTGTCTGTTCCAGAGTGTCGACTGAAAACTAAAGGGGACAGAGCGTTTGCTGTCAGGGCCCCGAGGCTCTGGAACAGCCTGCCCGAGGAAATCAGGTCGGCTGAGTCAGTGAACTCTTTTAAGTCCCTTCTTAAAACATACTTTTATAGGAGAGCCTTTCCCGATCTTATTTGACTTTACTTTATCCCTTTTATTTTATTGTATTTTTCTAATTTTATATACATTTTTTATGCTCTTATCTTGTTTTTTTTGTTTGTATTATTCTTTACACTTGTTAAAGCACTTTGTAACTTGTTTTTGAAAAGTGCTCTACAAAAAAGGATTATTATTATTATTATCTTATTCTCTTTTTTTACAGTCAGGTTTGCTTTTACATAAATAATGAGCAAATTAGTGTTGACTTGGTTGGTTGTGTTTGTAACTTTCGTCTTTTCTACCCAGCAAGTTTCTGATGGGATATGAACATATACAGCCTACAGAGACACTGGACTTGTTGTCTTTTGACTGTGGAAGGAAATGAGAGGAGCATCCAGAGAATGAATATGCTAATGTGGAAGTGTACGTTATATGTGTGAATGAGTATGTGTAAAAACTGAGTTTTTGCCCACTTTGCTGTGAAGCATTTGTTTAGGACTTAGTTTAGATATGAGACAAAAGTAGTGAGTGTTAGCCAGAAAAGGAAAAAAATATAGCTTGTATGCGTGAATAAATAGCTAAACTCTAGCAACCCATAAATTATCATATTTGAATACTGCAAAGTCATTTTCATTATTCTAAATGGGTAGAATGAAGCTCTAGTTTCCATTAATCTCGTGTTATGTTCCCGTAGAAATGACACACAGGTGCAAAAAAATATCAAACTCTGCGGTCCTATTTAGCAACAGATCTTGACCTCCATCTACACCTGCAGTGGTTATATATTGTAGGCGATGCTTTAGACTGTGGACCAGTTACTGCCTCAGAGTCATATCCTTGTCAACCAACCAGTTCAGCAGTGGTAGTTTGAAATTTTAAATAACTGAACTGCAGCTCTGTTTTCAGACATGCTACTCTGGATTTCCCCCGTTTCGTCTGGTGCCCACAGTACTGCAGTACTGCACTTTCCCCCCCCTATTCATTTTAAATTTGTTGTGCAGTATGTAGTTCCTCTGGCCAGGCGGCAACCCAGCAGGAACTGGGCAAAGGTTGTGATGCCCAGCTAAAGCCAGATGTGATGTTAGAGGCAATAAATCCCATTTGAAACAAGTTATGAAAAAGAAAACTGACAACATACTCAATGTTCTGTCATAATCTATTTTATTTACAGAAAACATGTATTAATTAATACATAAGGGAAAAGGGATAGATATGGACAAATATCACATTCGGGCTCATTTCACAACATGGAATACAGATGGCATCAGCTTAATATGATAATATGAGTAAATCTGACCAGAGAGAAAACACACACACACACACTCTCTCTCTCTCTTTTCGTAACTCAATTTGAAGACAAGATTTCATTCAGACATTCAGTTTAGCTGATTTATCCCGTTTCACAGCTCAGTGTTGACCATAACGCTTTACGGCATGACATGTCAATAATAAAGTGTTTCTCTCCACAGTATAATATCTTCTTTTTATACAAGTACTTTTATCCTAGATTTAAAATCACTGTTTTGGACACAGACCCATCACATTTACCACAATTTTACTACTGGGATAAACAGATTGAACATCAAAGAACATACTGCACAAGCTCATTGTAGAAGGAGTAAAGAGGAAAATATACTATATACTATATATAACTTACACCCATAGTCAATTGGACTTTTTCAAAATAAAGTGCATTCCCACCAGAATGCATTGTTTTGAGAACTAATACATGTATTTTTAAAATCAGTAAAAGTGAAGTGTGTGATATAAAAATAAATGTAAAACACATTTCATTTTCAGCAGCAGAGGGAATAAGCACTACCACTGAAAATAAATGAAGTAAGTTTACAATAAGAACTCGCATACTCTACATTTTAACAATATGTTCATATGTCATCTCAATTGACAAGATTTATCACATTATGACTCCATCACAAACACGAGTCAGTATTTTCGCCCTCATCGTGCCGTACGTATGTTCTTGTACTGGCACAGAAGCAGGTGCTTAAAGGTGTTTTTGAAGGTGGCGTTGCAGAGGGCGTAGCAGCCCGGGTTGATGGTGCTGTTGATGTAGCAGAGCCAGTAGCCGATGGTCCAGAGGGAGTTTGGGATGCAGATGGAACAGAAAGTGTTGATCAGGACCATCACGTTGTATGGTGTCCATGTCACGACAAAAGCTACCAGGATTGCCATGATGGTGCGCGTCACCTTTTTCTCCCTGGAAGAAATGCCTTTCTTTCTCCACTTTGCCACAGCACTCTGCTTTGTTACCTGGAAAATCAGTGTAGTTTTTAATGTGATAGCAGTGGAACAAGCTATAAACATAACCTTTATCACCCTTTGTCACCTTATAAATTTGTTAGCCATAACAACGCAGGTCGTAGTTGCCATCCAGTAGAGCAATATTAGGTTTATTTTTGAGTTTTCTTTCTGGCCACTTGGTAAAAGTGTGTCCAATAATTACTCTCTTTTAGTTCTGTTTTGATTTAACTAGAGTAAAAGTAAGTCTTGTTAATAAGACCAAGAGCCTACAGCTCTGTGAAGCTGCACGTATGCACAGTGCTGCTTTAAACTGGACATCAGCATGCTAATGTGTTCACACTGACAATGTTAACATGCTGAAGTTTATGGTATTGTGTTCATCATCTTAGTTTAGCGTGTTAGCATGCTATTGTTTGTTAATTAGCAGTAAACACAAAGTACAGTTAAGATTGATGGGAATGTCATTATTTTTGCAGATATTTAAATAAACTGAAGTGTTGGACAAAAAGACTTTTCGCCTTGTGATGACACTATACTGAAAGTTAAGAGTTCATTAAAGTTCAATCTGAGGGCAACATGAATGTCTTAACCAAATTTATGGCAATTAATCCAACAGTTAATCCAACACAAATGTCAACCTCATGGTGGTGCCAGAGGAGAATTCAGGGGATAACCGATGTCATTAGACTTCATCCTGTTACAGAAATAGGTGTAAAATTTTAGGGCAATCCATCCAATAGTTGAGTCATTTCAGTCTGGATCAATGCGGTCAACACTGCCATCCCTAGAGGGCCCCACTGCTAGCAAATTTGGTGAAATTTGTGATTGATAATTTGTGTTCTTTAGTCATCTAAATCTCAAAAGAAGTTATTATAACTAAAGTTCAGGAACAAGACCACACCTGTCTCTTTAATTTTCAATTTTGATTTGCTTTATTGGCATGATTGTCAAAAGAACAATATTGCCAAAGCTTCAAGAAAAATACAAAAGAACAATTCCATTAATACAGTTCATTAAAAACATAAAATAAAACAGTAAACATGTGTGTGTGTTTAAATAAAAAATAGATTTAAAATTTAAAAATACAGTAAATGTGTGTGTGTTTAATGAACTGTATGAATTAAATTCACACAGTTAGTCAAATAAATAAATAAAACCGTAAACCTCTCTCTCTCACTAATCCAACCACCCGCGCCTCATTCAATTCCTCCACCTGTGGCTCCCTAATCCAATCACCTGCACATATGAATATAAACTCGCCTGACCCCTTTGTCTCCCATTTGTCTCAGGTCTCACAAAGTAATTCCATCCACCAAGTAATTGTTCTTTTTCTACCACAGGGGGGTCATAAGCAAGCTGCTTATAAAGATGAGCCCTCGATTCTCGCCCCTTTTGTTCCTAGCCTCTACGGCCAAAAATACCCTTAACAACCCCCTTCATACCTCCCTTTTCGATCTCATCATGCCTCCTTTCTTCACCGCTTCGTCCCTCTCCTCTTGACCCCTTTTTATACCTCACATTGCCGTGGTCTTTGTTAGTCAATGTACAAGCTTTTTATATAGTAATGAAATTTACCTTAAACAGTGTCCTTGTGACCAAACTTTGTCTGTCAGCGGCTGAGTTCTCTGGGGAAGGTGGCTGCGTTTGGTTGGTCTTTTTCACACAATCTGTGCCATCTGAAACAGGGGCCGCAGGGTCCTTAGATGTTGAAGCGTGGATGCTGTCTGCCGTGGAGTCCACCTGGTCAGTTCTTTCGTCCATGCAGGGCCCGCTTCCGTTCTGCTGCTGCTCCTTCACCTCCACATCTCCAGCCTCCTCCTGAGCTTCTCTTGTTGTGATGCAGTGTTTCTGGCTTTCACATCCGTTCTCCTGGCTGTGATAGGTGCCCTCTCCCAGACTGGTACCTGAAGTCTTCCTGCTGTCCCTTCGAATGCGGCTGCGGCTGGCCTTGGAGATGCGCCAGTAGAGGTGGATCATGATGGCCACAGGTAGGTAAAAAGCTGCTATGGCTGTCCCAAATGTCACCGCTGGGTTTGAGAAGAACTGGATGTAGCACTCACCTTGCGGCACGGTTCTCCCGCCCACAATGAACTGCCAGAACAAAATGGCTGGAGCCCACAGGATGAAGGACAAGACCCAGGCTGCAGCAATCATCAGGCCTGCCATCTTGGTGCTGCGGCGTGCTGGGTAGCTCAGCGGTTTGGTGACACAGAAGTAACGGTCAAAACTAATGATGAGAAGGTTCATGACTGAGGCGTTGCTGACAACATAATCGACAGCCAACCACAGGTCACACACCACTGCTCCCAAAGGCCAATAGCCAATCACTATATAGACAGTGTAGAGGTTCATGGAGCAGACGCCAATAATGAGATCTGCACAGGCCAGGCTGAACAGGAAGTAGTTGTTGACGGTCTGCAGGTTTCTGTTTACCTTTAGAGAGACAACATGGAGCAGGCTGTCAGATGCTAATCTTTTTTTGTGCAATGTGATGTGTGTTTTCTCATTTCTATTAGATTACGGCTGTGCACAGGGATGCACATGCTGTATTCTTATCTCTGAGTCTGGGTGTGCTTTCTAGGGAGGGCCATTTCATTCAAAACCCCTCCCAAACTGCAGGCTACCTATCCAGTTAGCAGACATCACCTAATCAGTCATCATGTGCTGCCACCCAGCAGGGTTGCACTGATTGGATAGAGACAAACTTTGAAAATAAGCTCAAATCTAAGGCAGAGGAAATAGGTATTAACATTAATTTGTGCCCTGCAGTGTGTTAGTTAGTTGTACCATCATGGCTAATCCCAGAAAATGAAGTTTATGCATACATGCTGAATAATAACAAAAGAAAGAAATCAGGAGATGTAGTCAAGGAAATTAAGTCTCATCTGCAATAACAATGGAGTGCATATTTAAAGATTTATACAGAGGGATCGATAGGATCCAGAGTGTTAGGGAAGTGGCTTTTGGAGTAACCATTCCTGAATTAAGAATTAAAAACGGACATAGAATTTCAGAGTAGATGTCAGTATTCAAAGCAGAGATGCTGGCAATATTATGGGGACGATATCCCAGACAACTCAGTCATATGCAGCAATTCAGTAGCAGCTTTAACTACTCCAAGAGGAATCAAATCCAAGTACAGACCTGATTTAGTGAAAGAGATTTATTAAAAATTATAAAGAATTCAGGGTGTGTTCTCGCTCTACTTCCTTTTTAAGTGAGCCGATTTAATTTATGTCCAATTGGCGCTACCCAGCTGGGTGGTGCACAATGTCCAATTGGGTTGCTTTGAGCTGAGTGGCCCCGCAGGATCACTGGAGAGGATGTGTGTAGTTTCAAACAAGTTACCAGACACACACTTTGGGTGGGGTTTTGAATAAAATGACTCTCCATACTTTTCAAGGTATCCAGAGATGGATGCTTTAAATACACTCATTAATCATGAATAATCAAGAAAACCCAAACCTTTATAGAGAGCATAACCAGGATGTTTCCAATGACGGTGATCAGACTCAGAGATCCAGCCACCAGGATGATGAGCACAATCTCCACAGTTGTGTACGGACTTCCAGAGAAGAGGCTGGTGTTATTACCACTGCTGATATTGGTGGTGTGGGATGAATTCAGAGTCTCCATACTGTCTAGTTTTGGATTTCCGTCTCAGATGCTTCAAGCTCGACTCTTACAGGTACAATACCTGTCAAACACAAAGGTGATAAAATAATTAGCCAACTAGTTTGCCTTTTTGTGATGACAATTTGTGTGTGCATTTGTCTGTCTGCACAGTTACAGATACAAAATCATGCGTAACTTTCAGCGTGTAAACATCTGGCAGGTGTTTTGAGTGTTTTTGAGCCTTTGGCTTGGCCCAGGTGTGAAGGATGGACAGGTGAGCAAATAAAGGCCGCAGCAGCTGTGTTTAAAAATATACGGCACCACATACTGATATCAGGAATAACACACTGAAACTTGTTTTGGAGTAAAAAGGCTTGAAATGTGTTTTTATCTTTTCATATACAGTCTATGGTTATGATCTTATATCGGTTAATCATCTGTAGATATGATTTGACCTGAATGGTCAAACACAAAAAAGTATCAAATATAAATTCAAAAGCAGATGCTACTTGTTATTTTTTAAGCCATTGCACTATTTGATGTGAGTTTCCTTGCTGAAGTCTACACCCACAGCTTAAGTGACCAGGAAATCTTAACTCTGCTCAAATCTGAACTGACAGATTGAACAGGAGCATCTTACCAGGTCACCTACACCTCTTGAGAGTTCATTTAAATTTCCAGTCCTGCTTTGAAAGTCACAAAATGCCCTTTTAGAGTATCTAATATGTGCGTAAGAGCCAATTCAAAAATGTCAAGTTGTTAACTTGATCCTGCAGGCATAGAGGACTCATTTCCTAACAACATATCTGCTCCTTGATGTGGAATAGGTACTGCCTAGTTTGTGTGTCCAAGTGTGCATGGATGTGTCTATGTGTGCTTATGTATTTGCTCTTTGAGACAGATGTCCAAATAAACCTAAATGGAAGCCATGGTTTTAATGTCAAGCCAGGGCAGGTTCTCTGAAGCGAAACGTTTACCTGCACAACAATTTCTGCTTTCTGAGTGAGAAAAGAAGTGGGGGGAAATTACGTCTTTGGCACAGAAACTGCCTGTTCTGTGAGTTATGAAAGACTGTTTCAGTGAGTGTACAAACAGATTTCTACTGGGACAACCTACACTAAAAATTCCGGCAATCAGGGTTAGGTGCTTTGGATAAAAGCATCTACTAAACACCATATGATATGCATATGGAAATAGATGTTCTTTTGTATTTATAATGGGCTGTGATGGCCAACAATATACACGGCATAACAATGTGATTAACTGATGTATTGTGATCAGAAAATCAATGTAAAGAGACCATCAGGGTTGTTGCATATTGCTAAAACCCTGTAAGTGACTCCATTAGGCCACATGATAACATCAATCTGTACCTGAGAGATGGTTCCCTCCTGCTCTTACAGCAAGATGAAACTTCATTAGAGCATCTCTAACTCTATCACTTACTCATCAAAGACCCATTCTGGGCTGTTTCTGTCGTACATGAGAAAGAGTAGGGGTGTGTGTTTGTGTGTGTGTGTGTGTGTGTGTGAGGGTTTAGTTCATCTATAATTCTCAGGACCTTGAAAGCCTGTGATTCTTAGATTTGAGTTATGAGGACATGTTGGTCTCATAGTGAATTTGGAGTTACTGGGTAATATTGTGCTAGTATAAGAATCAGGGTTAAATTAAAGTTAGGTTCAGGGCATGCCTGTGTATTTGCATTAATCAGGTTGTGGGGAAAATAGTCTGTTCACGTGATCCCATCAAAGGGATTTACTTCTCATTTTAGGACAAAATCAGGTCCCCACTGGGTATACTATTACATTTTATGGTTAAGACTTGTTTTTTGGTGAAGGTTAAGGTTAGGTTTAGGGCCGCAGTAAGGCATGTAACAATAATGGTAAACATATGGTCTCTAAGTCAGTAAGGAATTAAGGTGAATCAATGCAATGTACGTTTAGGCTGTGGTGGAAGAAGTGTCTAGGTCCTTTTAAGTCAAAGTGTCAACAACACAAAGTTAAAATATTAAATTTTTTAAAAAGTACAGAAATGTAATCAGGAACAATTACTTATACCAGCAATAACTGCAGCAAAAACAAGTTGTTAACACATTAACCATCATCACCTTTTTAGGTTGATGTGGCTAATCATGTATCAAGCCACCTGGAAAAAGTAGGTCCAATATTCACTCTCTTTTAGCTTTGTTTTTTGGGAAATATCTAGCTCTTAATCTGCTAAATTCTCCACTGTGTTCACCAGCTAGTCGCTAACTGTGTCTGCCAGATGTTTGGTTCTGAGCAGGTATTGTAGCCTTTTCTCTAACAGCTGCCTGCCACGGCTGAAAACGACACTATGAGAGCAGTGAGAGTGAATCAAAAGAGTAAAGCTGCGGCCAGACAGCTAAACAATGAGCTGAAACGCACTCTAAAGCTCTGTAAAGCTGAGGGGAACTGCACATTCAAATCATAATTTTCTATACTACCCCTTATATATATATATATATATATATATATATATATATATATATATATATATAACATATACATAACAACTGGAAAACAGGTTTCAACCATTAATATATCTCAAAGAGACAGAAGTGGAGATGGCCTCTGTTAATAAAGTAACACCTCAATATTTATCAGATTGACCTACGGATGGGAGGCCAATGATATTCACAGAGAGCGATCAGTAGTGCTAAAGCAGAATTTCATTAAACTCTCTGGAAAAAAGTGGAAGCCCTGTTTTTTATTAGTGGACAAACATTGGACAACAGGGGAATCAACAGGTTCAGCAGAATACATGGCTCAGAAAAACATGTGGTCTGAAAGGGATCAACTATATTGATAACTTCAATCTGTTTTGAGGTTGTAGGCATCTTTTCAAGGAAGCTATTAAACCTCAATTTATAAGTAAAACTACTGAACTGGTCTTTAACAATTGTTTTGATGTTTTAGCGTTGGTGTCATTAGATCTCAGTGCTGCATTCGACATGGTTGGGATTGAACTGGATGGGACTTTCTGGCTGAACTTGTTTTAATCTTATTTGAATGATGATTACTTTGTGTCGATCAGTAATTAGATATCCGAGCTTACAAAAATAACCTGTGGAGTTCCCCAAGGCGCCATTCTGGGGCCTCTTCTGTTCAATATCTACACGCTCCCTTTAGGGCAAATTATGTAAAACAATAAATTTTGCAGATGACACACAGATTTACATAACAATATAACCAGATGACGATGGTCTCATAAGAGCACTGAGTAAGTACATCGTTCAAATCATTGATTAGATGGGCCAAAATGTTCCCCAGTATAACAAAGATAAAACTGAAATAATTGTCTTTGGACAATTAAAAATTAGCGCTCAGCTTCAACGTTAAAGATCACAAACCAGGCCAGAAATCATGGTGCAGTCATAAACTCAGAGCTAAATTTTAACATCCACATTAACACATTACAAAAACTATCACTTTAAGAACATATAAAGAATTAACTCATCCATCCATCCGTCGTCAACTGCTTATCCTGCGGACAGGGCCGCGGGGGGCTAGAGCCAATCCCAGCTGACATCGGGCGAAAGGCAGGGTACACCCTGGACAGGTTGCCAGTCCATCGCAGGGCCACACATAGGCAAACAACCACACACACACACACACACACAGACACACACACACACACCTAAGGACAATTTAGAGCCACCAATTGACACAGTCCGCATGTCTTTGGACGGAGAAGAAAGCTGGAGCACCCTAAGAGAACCCATGCAGACCACACACACCTTCTTGCTGTGAGGCGACAGTGCTAACCACTGCACCACCATGCTGCCCCATATTAAGAATTAAAAGATTGGTTATGTCTCAGCAGGATTTAGAAAAAACTTGTTTATCCTTTATCTTCAGTTGGCTCAACTAATTCTGCTGTCTTTTCAGGTCTCTGTAAGAAGTCAAACAGCTCCAAGCCGAGGAGAGTGGATCACACCATCTTTATACTGGTTTCCTGTTTGTCAAATAAATAATAAATCTAAAATGTACTATTAGTTTATAAAGCACTGCATGGTTTAGGGCCAAAATACATTTCTGTTCTGCTGCTCTGTTTTGCACCATCCAGACCTCTCAGGTCATCTAGGACAGGTCTGCTTACTGTTAAATAGTCCAAACTAAACATGGAGAAGAAGTATTCAGTTTTTATGTACCACGTACCTGGAGAACTACCACAACACTCTCAAATCTTTTCAATCTGGGCTTAAAACCTTTCTGTTTGCCACTGCATTTTACATTTGCCTTATCTACACACACACACACACACACACACACACACACACACACACACACACACACACACACCTATATATATAGCCCGTCCTCACTTCTTCCCTTCATTCACATAAGACCCACATTACTGGACCTCACTAATTGTTATTCAGGGCTACTGGAGAGAGTCATAGAGGCAAACAGTATTTCTTTGACAGGCACAGAAACATAGTAATTAGATCCAGCAGATGCTGCCTGCAACAGCTGTACCAGTAATATGCTTCTAGGATATAGTAGTACTCTTCTGGCAGGGTGAGCTTTGCTTTAAAAAGTCTGCACTGTCTTTGAGATCATGAACGATACAACAGTCAGCTACAGAGTCAGTAATGAGCTGGCAGATGAAATGGTGAAACAAGGGGCTTGTTTGCAGAGACAAAAGCAGGTGTGGACTGCGACTGCGGATGTTACTCAGAGTACACAGTTTCATCACAAGGAGGATTAACGACTACAAGGGATCAAAGTGTTGTGTTTTATAATTGTTTCATTGCAAAATTGATTTTTGTCTCATAAATGTATTTTATAGTTTGCTGTATTTTGTCAGCCAAACATGTTACTAACTGAGAATCTGTAACATCATTTTGGATGTTTTTACAGATGGATTTCCAGCTCAAACAGCAACTGCAAAGCATGTAAATACACAATATGTTGAGTAATGAAACAAAAAATGACCATAAATGAGACAAAATGACCTAGAAAAATACAGTACATATGTTTAGTTTCAGGCATTGTTTATGGTCATTTGTAGTATTTGACAGACTTGAAATTGTTTTTAACTGCAGTATTTTGAGG